TCGATGAAACCGATAGAGTGAGATAGAAGAAATTTGTGTATTAATATGAAAAATTTCTAAATTTTGGGTGAAAATTGTACGATATTAAGCATCACTTTTATTTTGCTTAATTGGTAGAGAGTATTATAATCAACGTAGACAAACTTGTTAAATGTACTGCAATGGAAGAACCAATTCCAAGTTGACATCGAACTTTGATCATCTCTTTCTCTCTCTCTCTCAAACTACTCGTTCGACTCTTAAATTACGTGAACTTCGACACTTGACCGATTTCACGATATCGCTATATCTCTTCCGCAGACTATACTCGAACGGTGTGCTCGAAAGTTCGCTCAGACTTTCAGTAAAACGAATAAATACACCTTTCCCACCCCTTTTCTTTCGACGTCTCTCTTCACGAAAGCTACTAAAATCTAAGATTTGAAAATCGATCACCTTGCGAGCCTACTATATTTTCCGAATTGTAATTTTATATGATGATTATAAAAGAAGCAAATTACCGTCGTAATAATAATGATTATCGTTAGAGTACAATAGAGATTTATTGTCACGAATGTATTACAATCTAAAAGGAGTCGGTCGACGCTCAGAATGCGCTTTTAACGTGAAAACGACGTCTACGAGGGATATGATAGTGATCACGTAATCGTTCCAAGTGACAAATACTCGCGACAGATTGATATAAAAAAGGAGGGGGGAGGATGAAATCGGAGTATGTATTCTGAGCGTCGATGAATTGAAGCAGCTTCTCGTTTCTCTCGTTCAATAACGAATCAACAGCCTTTCTTTCGACGCGTTGAACATGGACGTCTCTTTCAGCTGGTCAAGACCATCTTCCATGGTTAGTTCCTTCTTGGCTACTCGATGAAGCATCTCTCTGATGTCTTCGGTGTTGGTTGTTTGCAGATCGTTAACCATACCGAGCTCGTGCCACATTTTGATCATGAACGTGCCGCAACCGGCTCCATATGTGCCGAACTCGCCGCTTTTCCAGTCCCATGGGACCATATAATGGTACAGTGGCCAAAATGACGCGGTTATGAGGAACACGCTGATGCTGTCTGGCGGAATTCTGAAATTGGTGTAAGTGGATTAACGAGTTGTTCTTGGTTTAACGCGTTCAGGACGGTGGGTCATCGAGTGAGGCTGTTACTTTTTAGCGTGACCCACCGATGGGTCACTTCAGTGTACATGAGAGCAAAGATTGAATAGTCTGGTGATTAGTGTAGTGGGTCACCACATTGTTTTATTATATTTGATGGGTGAAAAGATTAGTGAAACTGGACAATTGAGTATTAATTACAATAGATACTTGGAGAGCGTTTTGTGAATTTTGTTATCGCCCTGAACGTGTTTATTTGGTTCTATCAGGTCGTTTAAAATGGAATACTAGATTTTTCAGTGAGCGATGAAAATCCCTCGATAGATGATAGGTTCTTAAATAGTAACTTATCAAGAATTGCATGAATTTTAAGTGAACATGAAAATTTCAGAATTTTTTGACACTCAAAGATTAGAAATTCGATATTTCATATAACACGACCTAGTAAGTACCTTGATTTTATTTTACTCCGAATTTGGTACGAAGCTTCGCGAGAATCTGTCGTACGAAAGAATTACACTGCAATTTTCGAACGATTTAAAATAATTTTCTAGCGTATAAAGAAGTTTTTAATACTAGTGGATTTTACGAGCAAGTTGTAATAATTTGGTTAAACAATAACAATTTTACAGAAGAATTATGCTATATTTTCTCCGATAAATCATGAAACCCTGTGAAATTTTTAAATACATTCAAACAATCGTTAGTTATATTTTCAATCACAAGCGTGAATGCCTGAATCGTCAATGATAACAGTTCCATGGCTGTTAGGCATTTTAATGAAGAGTGTGTACAATAAACCAAGTGTATCTGAAATTTGCATTAACTTGTTGCCTTTGATGGCCCAGATCAGTCGACCGCTGTTCACCAGCCAGCAAACGTTCGCTGTGATAGCGAATCGTAATAATCCTGTGATTAGTATAGTTTCTGTCATCGATTCGTCCCAATACGCCAGCGGCACGTTCAGAGGCAATATTACACCGAATATTAAGAACATTGGCCAGTAGAACCTGTGAATGGAAATAAATTTTATTGGAATTGTTAAAATAAATTCTTCAACGCCATTTAAATATGACATTTTATACGATTTTTTTAACTCGAGAGAAATTTTAAGGTTCATTTAAGAAATTTTCAATTTTAACTCACTTTAGTTTCATCTCGGAGAAATTTTAACTCACTTTAGTTTCATCTCGGAGAAATTTTAAGGTTCACTTGAGGAATTTTCAATTTTAACTCACTTTAGTTTCATCTCGGAGAAATTTTAAGGTTCACTTTAGGAATTTTCAATTTTAACTCACTTTAGTTTCATCTCGGAGAAATTTTAAGGTTCATTTAAGAAATTTTCAATTTTAACTCATTTTAGTTTCATCTCGGAGAAATTTTAAGGTTCACTTTAGGAATTTTCAATTTTAACTCACTTTAGTTTCATCACGGAGAAATTTTAAGGTTCACTTGAGGAATTTTCAATTTTAACTCACTTTAGTTTCATCTCAGAGAAATTTCATATTTAAATTAAATTAGTCAAGTATTGTCAAGTACTGCTTAGAAAATTTCGATAGGGGAAGCTTTTCAACAATTAAGATAAAATGACTTCTAAAGCAAATTAGAAATTTTATTATCCAAGTAAGTCTTACTGTTTCTGAAGCCAAACGTAGCCATCTTGTTCTATGTCACGCATATCGATGTCATGTTTCGCATGTTCATAGTCCACATTCGGTGACAAGAAATTGCCCATATAATGGCTGTACAAGAATCCCTTCTTATGGTTGTAAGGATCTTTGTCGGTCCCATAATACTTATGGTGGACCCTGTGATACAACACCCAGTCGTATATTGGACCCTGAAGCATTTTAAACAAATGTGAGGCTATCGCCTTCAGTATCACGAAAATGCGTTCCTCTCGTTACTTGAGAAAATAAAAAGAAAAAAGTCACAAAGATACGAATCGAAAGTTACGATCAATTTTGAATTCAAAGACTCTTTCACTAAGTTTTCAAATCCAGCATCAGTGTTTTAACGTAATACTGCGATATTGAGATATCTACCACTCCTGCGAGAGTATGAGCCAACATGAGAAAGAGCCTAAGAGGTCCTGTGGCTGAGAACGTCCTGTGAGCCCATAATCTGTGAGCACCCACTGTGAGTCCAAGACAACTGACGACTGTTAAAAGGGTCGCTGAAATTTGTATTAATTAAGGTTACAAACATCGAAAATACACTAGAATTTTACAGAACAAGTGTTACAAATGAATTAAAAAATAAACCAATTAGGATGATAAGTTCCAATGATATTCAGTTTCCCTGGAACGAGCAACGATGAAATTTTGCGAAGATATTCTGAATGAAAGTTTCAGTAAAATTAGAATTTTATGCGTTTCACGAACGGGTGATAAAGTGCATAATGCTCCTTACTATAGAACACTGTCATCCATTTGGCGGAAGTGAGCACCAACCAGATAGCAAGGAGTCCAAGGACGTGCAGGTGAATGTACCACAAGACGGATGCCCATTTAGTCTCTCTCTTCTTCACCGGTTTCTTCTCTTCCGACATCCTGTTGTTACAAACGGAAGTTACACTCAATCTGTGGACAATCTTTCGTTCACTTGCTCAAGTACCAATCTTGGCGCTCAAAAATCTTTTCTATTCACTGATCACTTTAACGGACAAATTATAAATATGACAAAATGTGTTAGAATTTTGAAACTAGACTGAAATAATTATTTAGGAAAGAATCACGATCGTACTGAATTTATGACACTTCGATTGTTTCTTACATGTATCTTGCTTCGATCGTTAATTGTCATTTTTGAAAAATTTCATCACTTGGCTGAGGAAATTTAAAGAAGCAATATTTTTGTAGAATGATTTTACGAGAGATCTTCAAATTATCCAGATTCCACGAGCAATCTAAAAATACTTGAAAGATCGATTTCAAATGGTCGTCTAAAAAAAGATTTACCTGGTTGGTCGTGACACGAAACGCGCTTCTGGAGGATCCGAGAAGAACTACTTTAACGAACGCTGGCCGCTAGCTTCGTCGATTAACCTCGTGGCCTTTTTTCGAATTTCATTATCGTGAAACAATTCACATAGTCATTTCCTTTGTTTTGGCTTCTGGTGGCTTGGAAACGCTTTCAGTGCTATCTTATTCCCGGCTCCTCAGATTTATCGTCTCTACCACGTAGGATTTAACGTTAGACGACTGGAATTACCATTTTGGAAGAGTTGTACGTGTTCTTTTTTGGAATTTCTAGATTAAATCGCCAGTTTAGGGTAATTTTTCCACCTCGAGTTTCGTCCATTCTTCTTTTGATCGTTTTTAAACTTGAAATTGATCGATTGTGAACGATCTAATGAGGAAAATTTGTATTCACATTGTTTCTTACGATTTACGATTTATTTCTGGGAGATCTTATGATCTCGATGCGTGCATCGTTAATTTCTCGTTTATTCGGAAATAATTTGAAAAATGATTTTTAAAAAATTACAAACTATTCCAATGTAGAGGAATTGTGCTTAGAACCGGTCGACAAGATTTCAAAGTAATATGCAAAGTCGATAAAATACGCAAAGGACGTTCGGTGATTGATCAGGAAATAAAGCGGAAATCAAAATGAAATGAATATTTACGAGGATCGGTCGACTTCCGACGTAGCGACGATATTCTCTGATGATAAATCGAGAATTAATCGGTTCTTCCTTCTTACTTTCAAAGCGATTACATTTTAATTATAACTACAGCACAATTAAACGTGTACGTCAAATGTAAAGTTTCTGTAAGCTGACTCAAGTTGTTCGTTTCTTTGGTCACAGAATTACACGAGCATGCGTAGTTTCTTCGCAATTCTAAGAACACTTTAGACACCACGTTCGTGTGAAATTTAAACGAAGCGGAAGTATATTTTATTCAAGCTGGAATATATTTTAATCTCATAAACTTTTTCAATCATCAACACCCTGACCTGATGACCCTTTCGTAGATTTTTCACAGAACGAAAGTAGAATATTTTAATTCCGATTAGAAAATTAGAATTTTTATTCTTATTATCATTTGAAATTTTAATTAATCGGAATAATGTACTTCACTCTCGAACAATATATTTAAAAAAATCTCGATCCTCGATAGAGATACTAACTGAAAATTTCTTACAGAACTTTTCTCACTGAATTTTTTTAATTAAAACAGTTATTAAGTCTGAATCGAGACACTTACGATCACGCGATATTCTTGAAAGGAAAGATAACAAATTACAAATATTCTCGATATTGTACATTGATCATTACTTTATTAATCTACTTAAAAATAGAAACTCTTTTGTACATCGTGCTTACAAAGGCAATTTAAGTTAACGATTCGCGAAAGCAATCTTATACAAAGTACGATCATCTTCACCGTTAATACTGTCAAATACGAAGTGTAGAAAATTCTCTCGATTCTCGTTGTTCGATCCAAAAGAAAAGGAAAGAAACGTTCACGAGTAAGAAGATGTCATGTCGACAATCTTCCAAGTTCCTTGATAACACAAAATCTACACGATCACGCTAAAATCACAACACAATGGTCGATTGTTCGATTTCCAACGTCTTCTCGTTATTTTCCACGAATAAATCGAAGGAATACTGCGTCGGTGTGTAATCACGGAGGGAAACATTCACGTCACTGTTTCTTCTTGTCCATCAATTTCAGTTCCTTCAGATCCTCGATCGGGATATCCTTGTCGCCGTATCCCCAAATATGGCTGCCATCGCCAGATCTGTTCGCTCTGCGTCGAACCATCTCCGAAGAAACGTATTTGCGATCGTATGCCCAACCAAGATATGCGAAAGCGTCGATGAACGCTGTGGTTAAGTTGTAGGAATAGTTCCCCAACTCTCCTGTCTTGTAGTCCCATGGGAATACGTGGTGGAAATTGTGCCAGCCCTCGCCTAACGCGGCTATGGACACTGCTACGTTCTCCACCGGAGAGATGTACCTGAAATCGATGGAGAATTTTTTGGTTAATTTCGAATATAATACTTTTCGTCGGAACTTTCGTAAAATGTGGTACTTTGAGAACGTGGTCTGAAGTTTGCGGGAATCCCCGTATTATAGGGTTTAAAAATTGTGGGAATCCCCGTATAATAGAGTCTAGAAATTGTGGGAATCTTTGTATAACACGATCTGAAATTTGAGGGAATCCCCGTACAGCACGGTTTGAAAATTGCGGGAACTCCCCTATTATAGGGTCTAAAAATTGCAAGAATCCCCGTATAATAGGGTCGAAAAATTTCGGGAATCCTTGCAAAACACGATCTGAAATTTGAGCGAATCCCCGTACAGCACGGTTTGAAAATTGCCGGAACCCCCGTATAATAGGGTCTAAAAATTGCAGAAATCCCCACATAACACGATCCGAAAATTGTGGGAACCCCTGTATAACACGATCCGAAAATTTCGGGAATCCCCGTATAAATCACCTTAATTCCTAACAGTGAAATCTACAATTGACCATTTTGTGGTAATACGTATGATTGATATCTGCAATTTTGCAGAATTTGACCTAAATATCTAAAGATAAGATACGGCAGAGGTTCCTACAAACGAACGATGATTCAGAAATACAAATTCGTGGATTTGTCGTTGACATCATGGGGCTTATAGGATCTCGTACTGATAAACGAAACTCGATACTTATACATATATAACTTAGGATCGAAATAAAAATATTCACAACGCACTTGTCGTAAGGTCGTTGACCCCACATATGCGCCACGCTGTTTACGAAGAAGGCAATGTTAAGTGTTATACAGAAACGGAAGTTGAAGTTCACCCAGAAAGAGATCCACAGGGATTCTGACCAGAAATAGCACGGCACTGCCACCGGAAGTCCAATGGTTAACAGCGCGAACAGAGGAATAAAAAGTCTGCGAATGAAAGATTCGAAAGTAACGTTTAAAATGATAAGAAAAATCGTATATTATTTTTCTAAAAATTTTTTCAACTACACAACGTTGGTGTGCTCACCTTTTCTGCCACATGACAATTGGATCAGCCTCCAAGTCGCTCATATCCACCGCTTTTCTCTTCGCGATCACGTCAGGATGCGGCGTTATGAAAAGCCAGCCGACGTGGGCGAAAAAGAATCCTCTTTTCACATTATGCGGATCTGCATCAGTTTCGCTGTACTTATGGTGCACCCTGTGATCCAATGCCCACGTGTACACGTCTTTCTGCAGACAAATCGTGTTTGTCGATCGTTCAGAGATGTCGAAATTCAACGGTTGAAAGAGCAAAGTTAGAGAGATACAGGAAAAGGAGGATAATCTTTACACTTTGTAATGCTAATTTTTCTCGAAAAATGAATGAGAGGTGGTAAAGAAAAATTACGTACCTGTCCAGTGATGGTGAAGAGGAACATCAGGACCAATCGAAGCGGCCATTTTGCTTTGTAAGCTCGGTGGGACCATAATCTGTGCACACCTGCAGTTATACCGAACCCGGAAGTGTATATAGTCACGAACACTGCAACAGAACGTCTATCATATGTATTTATAGATACGATTTCAATGCACCAGGTGTATTTATAGTTTTATCTCGAACGCATCAGGCGTATCTACAATTTGAACTTGACCGCGTTAAATGTGTTCACTCGGTATGCACACATGTGCAATTTCAATCATTTACATTTCTCACGGGAGATAACTATTCATCAGGTCATTTTTATTAAAAAAGAAAGAAAGAAAAAAAAGTAGGATCTCCTTGAGTTCTTCGATATTAAAGTTTTATCATACGTAGTCACGTCGATGAATAATCAATTATTTACACTTTACAACGAACACACGCTTCACTGATGCTTTTCCAAATGTTACACAACAGCGTACGCGTGTTTCGAAAAATTTCTCAAAGAATGGAAAAGCCATCGTGCGTTCCCGGTTTCACACGGCGGAGGATTGTTTTTCATTTCGTCGATTCGTTCGTCTTTTTCGCTTTCAATCAATTCGACCGTGTACTGAAATTATCGCGTGAATCACCCGCGCGATCTGCAGAACACTTTGCTAGAGCAAATCTGAACGATTTCAAGCGTTCCATCTGCGATGCTCTTTGGAATCGAAAGGAATGTTCTAATTCTAATATTAGAGAGCGATCAAACTCATAAGTGGTTCGCTTTTTAGATTTCTTCTCGTCTCCTTACTTATTACGCGTGAAATTCAGACGTTTCGCAAATAAAGAATCGAAAATGAACTGCTTGTAGTGTTATTTTCGATAAAAACAGTAAATCTGTGTAATTTGAAAATTGTCAAATCGATTTGGTGAAATTCGGATATTTTACAAATACAGAATTAATCTGTACTTATTTCTCAAACTTTTAGTTTTTATTCTATTTCAGTTCTATCTAATTCGGTGAAATTTAAAATGTTTATAAGTACAGAATTGAAAATCTCTTCCACTGAAATAAACTACTTTTGTTAAACACTCGTCACTTGTTTCCAAACAACTATTATCTCCGATGAAAACAACAAAAGGACGCAGTTATACAATACTAGTTATTACGTGACGCGTTATCATTTAGAAACGAATCTGTATACAGTGACACCGATTAAGTAAGGTTCGATAACAGATACTGAATGATATCGGCAATTCTCACGAATCGCGATCGTTCTCTGCGGTGAATTTCCGTTAACGTTGACTCGACAAGTGTATTTCTCCGAACAAGAATATCTCGTCTCGTCTCGTATGTGGATCAAAGTTATCGAAGCGGACTAAAAACTAGTTCTGTTTGGGCACACATCGATCACGAAGTTTGCGTAATTTATGTGATCCATGGCCAAGTACAGTGTCATAGATTAATAATAATCACGCAGGAAACCGTCCCGGTTTACCTTTGTCGTCAGTTCGAATTTTTGTAGCACACGCGTTGCGACACGTCGTCAAGGCAGTCGGCATATGTGACACATCCACTTCCGTCGCGGACCGTCGTTTTCATTGAAATTCTGTTACATAAGTCACGAAGCACGCGAATGCTACTTTGAGAAGAAAAGATAAGAAAAAAGGTGAACATCATCGTATACGCACGAGGGACAAAATGTTTCAGCAAAATGCATGATTTGTTTTTCTCGGTGCAAGCAAGAACAGTAGAGGAGAAACACGAATGTTATTTAAACAAGGTTGCGAGCAATTTTGACGTTCGACTATGAAGTAGCAACGTGGAATTCGAATTTGGTAGTAACTGCATAATTTTTTTTTCGAATTCGCGTGAAATATCGAAAATGAAATCTATTTAAGTAATAAATCTAGAAATTTATACGTGTAGAATTGAAAATTTGTAAAATTCATAAACGCAGAATTGAGAAGCTGAA